TAATTTTCACTAAGAATTTGTGGGTAAGAGGAACCAAAACATGTATTAAAAAGAATTCACTAAATTACTGAAACAACATACAAATGATAGTTATTTGAAGTGTTGTACTGAGTTTACTAGGATGAACAGACAGGACAGAATAGATGGTCGAGAAATAAAGTTAAATATTAATAAGAATTGTCAGGCTGTTTTTTTTTTTAATTTATTATTTATTTTTATTAGTTGGAGGCTAATTACTTTACAATATTGTAGTGGGTTTTGTCATACATTGACATGAATCAGCCATGGATTTACATGTGTTCCCCATTCCGATCCCCCCTCCCACCTCCCTCTCCGCCCGATCCCTCTGGGTCTTCCCAGTGCACCAGGTCCGAGCACTTGTCTCATGCATCCAACCTGGGCTGGTGATCTGTTTCACCCTAGATAATATACATGTTTCGATGCTGTTCTCTTGAAACATCCCACCCTCGCCTTCTCCCACAGAGTCCAAAAGTCTGTTCTATACATCTGTGTCTCTTTTTCTGTTTTGCATATAGGGTTATCGTTACCATCTTTCTAAATTCCATATATATGTGTTAGTATACTGTAATGGTCTTTATCTTTCTGGCTTACTTCACTCTGTATAATGGGCTCCAGTTTCATCCATCTCATTAGAACTGATTCAAATGAATTCTTTTTAATGGCTGAGCAATATTCCATGGTGTATATGTACCACAGCTTCCTTATCTATTCATCTGCTGATGGGCATCTAGGTTAAAAATACTTAAAAGTCAATCAATTTCCTACAACTAACATAAAAATAAATTCCTCATGGGGTAAAGCTTTAAATGTTCTAATCTGAGATCTTGAGACTACTATGTGGATAATAGTGCTCCTCCCTTCTATCCTTCCCATTCCTTTCCTTTTATTATTTGAGTACAAGTCAATCTCACCCACTAGATTAAGCTGTATTTAGGGCTACGGCTATGTCTAATTGATCTTTACACACCCCACTGGACCTAGCACAGGTGCACACAAGTACATATGTTTCCTGTACATACACATATATTGCAGATTGTTATCCCATGTGATGTCCTGACTCCTTTGTATATGAGACTTACTGCCTCCAGATGAATAACACCCCTGGTATTGAGTACCCTAGAACAGGCCACATGAAGTTTTTCACATGTCAAGCAATGTAATATAAAAACATTGCAAACTTAAAATTCAGAGTCTCTTTTATGGAAACTAAAATTTGGACAGCATTTGAAAACATTAAGCATTTATACACACACAAAGTTTTAATGCAATAATACTAACCTGTAAATTAACTTGATCTGTGGCTATTTTTAGAATAATGTAAATGTTCTAGAGACTGCAACTCCACGTATACAGGAAAGTGAGGAATTACAGCTTCCTCCTAGCCAGCATTTAGAAAAAAATGTCCCTAGGAAATATTTCAAGCAGCTTGAGAGACACATGCACACACACACACAAAAACCAAACACAATACTGCACATGACTCATTGTACTAATCAGGAAGGAGCTGGTTTCCTAACATCTAGTCCATTTCTGAGAAACTAAGCTTGCTTTCGCTTTTGACTGGCATGTGTTCAATAGAACAGTTGCAAGCTGTCCTTAATTGACAGAAGAAAGTGCTGTCTCGTAAGAAAAAGTAGAGGACAGTCAGAGACTTTTTACTTTATAACATGACTAATGGGAATGTCACAGTTAGTATAGTAAGGCCACAGCATCACAGTATTTCAGTGCACTTTTGCAAATACAGAGCCATGGCGCAAAAGGGTGAAAGGGATGGAGCTACAAAGCTCCAGTTATATAATGCATAAACCACAGTAATGTAATATACTGAATAAGCTATATGGTCAATGATACTTTAATAACTTTGTGTGGGGATTGATGGTTACAGATTTATTGTGATGATCATCCCATAATGTAGCATATGTCAAGTCATTATGTAGTACACTTGACACTAATGTAATATTGTATATCAACTATATTTCAATCAAAAAGTTATTTTATAAAATGTAAGAAAAATATATCAGCATTCAGTTCAGTTGAGTCGGTTAGTTGTGTTCGACTCTTTGTGACTCCATGGACTGCAGCTCGCCTGGCCTCCCTGTCCATCACCAACTCCCTGAGTTTATTCAAACTCATGCCACTGAGTCAGTGATGCCATCCAACCATCTCATCTTCTGTCGTCCCCTTCTCTTCCCACGTTCAATATTTCCCAGCATCAGGGTCTTTTCCAGTGAGTCAGTTCTTCACATCAGGTGGCCAAATTATTGGAGTTTCAGCTTCAGGATCAGTCCTTCCAATGAATATTTAGGACTGATTTCCTTTAGGATGGACTGGTTGGATCTCCTTGCTGTCCAAGGGACTCTCAAGAGTCTTCTCCAACACCACAGTTCAAAAGCATCAATTCTTTGGTGCTCAGCTTTCTTTAGAGTCCAACTCTCACATGCATACATGACTACTGGCAAAACCGTAGCCTTGACTAGACAGACCCTTGTCAGCAAAGTAATGTCTCTGCTTTTTAATATGCTGTCTAGGTTGGTCATAACTTTTCTTCCAAGGAGCAAGCATCATTTAATTTCATGGCTGCAGTCACCATCTACAGTGATTTTGAAGCCCAAAAAAGTAAAGTCTGTCACTGTTTCCACTGTTTCCCCATCTATTTGCAATGAAGTGATGGCATAGTCAACAAAGCAGAAGATTTACATATACATAAAATATAAAATATATAATTTTAAAATGTAAGTAAATTAACAAATTAAATGCTTTACATAAGTATTTTAATATTTCTTCTACACTTCAAGTTGGTAAATGGTGGTGCTACTCTCATAGTTGAAGTTGTTTTATACTTACTCACATATAATACTCATTGAGCTTATACCCAAACTGTGTTTTAATTGCTGGAAATACATCAGTTGACACAAGAAGTCAATGCTTTTATGAACTTGAATTTCAGGTAGTCATAGGGAAAAGTAAAAAAACAAACAAAAAAAAAAAACAAAAAAAAAAAAACCAGGATGATAGGATGGAGATTAGCGATCATGGAAGACCTCAATGAGAAGATACTATTTAGCTGAGACCAGTAGAAAAAGAAGGAACCAGTCTTGCCAAGGACAGGTTCACATGCAGCAAATTGTTATACACAGATTGCTAAGACAAGAAGAACCTGAGTGTGTTCCAACAACTGAAAGTGCACATGTTAGTCACTCAGCTGTGTCTGACTCTTTGTGACTCCACGAACTGTAGCCACCGGGCTCCTCTGTCCATGGGATTCTCCAGGCAAGAATACTAGAATGGGTAGCCATTCACTTCTCCAGGGGATCTTCCAGACCCAGGGATCAAACCCAGGTCTCCCACATTGCAGGCAGTTTATTTACCATCTGAGCCACCAGGGAAGCCCTTCCAGCAAATGGAAGACCCAGATAAATCATATTTTTCAAAGCAAGTTGAAGTACTTCTTACCCAGAGACATTTTAAAAGATAATAGCAAGGAAGAAAAGAAAATAATAAAACAAAATAAAATAATTAAAACAAATAATTCTATTTGTTAAATTTCAGACATTGGCGTCCAGATAGGGAGAAACACCAATGTACCATGAGATCAGAAGAACTTATAAATATTTCCCTCCCTCCTTGAATATCTCCCTTCCTCCTCACTTTCCTTTTCTCTCCTTCAGAAGCCCTGTTGAGGAGGAGAAAAAAGAAGAGTTTAAGGGCAAACACAGCTTCAAATTCACATCCCACCTCTATGACGTGCTTAGTGAATTTGACCAGGCATATTATTTACCCTCCCTCAAGGCTTCCTGTTTTTTCACTGTAAGATGGAGACAAGACCACTTATTTTGCATGATTATACTCAAGATTGAACTAGGCTTGTAACATGTGTGCTCCTTAGAACAATCAAGAAATAAAGCTGTTATTTCTACTGCTATTCACTGAACAGACAAGGAAAGGCAGTGTATAGAAGAGGTTAAACAGGAGGGTTTGGAAACAAGAATGATTCGGTTCAGATTATGTAATGAGACAAGACATTAAATCTTTCTGTGTCTCAGTTTCTATAAAATGGTGGGGAAATGTCTGTTATGAGATATCAATATTTAACCCATGTGGAGCTGTCAGCACAGAGCATGGAACATGTGTGCAACACATGGAACTCCTTTCTGCCTGGGCAGTTGGTATTAAGTTCCAGGGGCTGTGTATTCATAAATGTATACGATGTGTCTTTTTCCTCACTTATGGCATGCATAATGCACACAGGTCCACTGTGTGTCCATTATTTAGGGAAATTAAACCTAAAAATTGATATGCCTCCTCTTCTAGGTTTCCTAAACTGATCCCCAATTCTGAGACACATTCCATTATACTTAAGTATCTAATAGACACTTTTCCAAATAGTAAATGATCTCTAAGATGTCTTTCAAAGAAATTAATGTGAAGGTTCTAGTTGAGAAATTGTGTCAAACCCATCTTCCCTCCTACTAGGACAGCTTTCAAAAATTCCTTTTATGGTTATTGACTCACTGCTTTGCTCTCAGTGCTTTCAGTTTCATATTACTCTAAAGCTGTTAAGAGGTGGCTTGACTTCTGTCTGGTAGCTAAGCAAAGCAAGCAAGACCTAGGATACGAGTGGGTGAAACAGAAGTCTAAGATCTAGTGAGAGAAAGAGAAGTTGCAGAACCACGCCAACTAAGCCGAGAAGAAAACAGGTAAGAACTCTATTTTTTCCTCAGAGAATCTTTCTCTCCAGTGCTAAAGGAGCCCTGCTCTGGGAGAAGGAGACCATGATAAGATTAGTGCAGGGGTGGGAAGGGGTCTGCAAGGGTTCGTTAGTTTTCTAAAAAATGATCAGCATCGTATGATGCAGGGAACACAAAGTTGGTACTCTGTGGGGATCTAGAGGGTTGGGATGGGGAGCTAGGTAGGGAGGGATATGTATACTTACGGCTGATTCATGCTTATGTATGGCAGAAACCATCACAATATTCTAGAGTAATTTTCCTCCAATTAAAAATAAAATAAAAATTTTTAAAAATCATCAGCATCAAGACAGGCTGTAGCTCATCCTGCCATGAGACACAAGGTCGGATGACATCCTGGTGTTATCAGGTGGCAGCATGTCCTGGGTCATGACTGTGCTTGTGTGGAATTACTGGGCTAATCTAATAGCTTGAAATGAATTAGTATTGCCCTTCTCTTTGCTGATGTTGTCTGCGTTGACTGGGGTATAGTTATATTACCAATGTCTTTATTATATTTGTTCAATACTGATTTGACTGCAGCTAAGAAACTGACAGGGTGACAAATATGTTATTTTCATGAGAAGGAAATAATACTAAATGAGATGTAGTGGTGATAGCCACCTGATACTCTGAAGACAGAGAAAAAGCTGAAAATCAGAGTGAAAGATACAGATTCATGAAGACAGCATATTCTTCAGCCCTACTTGTGAACTTTGTTTCAAAGTGGACTTCTTACTTCAGAAATACCACAGGTTTCACTACATTCAATTTCTTGGTGCCAACTTGAGGATGTCTTACGCCTTAGGAGCGGAATTCAACCTCACTACTTTACTAAAAAGCTTCCTCTTTAAAGACTACCGTGGTGCAGTGCTAAAGGCACCATCCTTGTTTACTCTGCCCTCTCTGGGCTCTCAAGGAGTTGTAATCTTGCCTTCCAGAAATTCTTCCTCTGACTTCCTTGACTTGGCACTAGCTCCATTTATCACTTACCCTCTGACAGCTCTCTCTCTCCTTTTCAGCTTCCCCTCCCTTTTTGCCTCCCAATCCCTCTCTCCTTATTTCCACCCCTCTTCCTTCTCTTCCTGCTTCACTTCTCTTCTATAACATGGGGGAAAAGAACAAAACAGAAAACTTAGAACTGTATGGCTGGAAATATGGCTATTTTCTTTCAACAACTTTCTTCTCTAGCTGTCCTGATATGCTTCCTGATCTTTTAATCTTTATTTCATTGTCCTTTTTCCCTTACAAACATACACACATACATATATACAAACAATTTTCAGCAACATGCAGTATTTGCAGTTGTAAGGTTTACCCCCACATTGTTGTAGGCTATTTATTCTGAAGGTAGTAAATTTTAACTTTCAGATCCCTTGCTTCCACAAGCCCATAACAAGGTTTTGGAAGAGTCTTGAGCCATATGTTTCACAAGCCACATGTTTCACCAATTTTTTATAAAATTTGCTAAAGTAAGTTGCACTTCTAGAATAGCAGTGTGAGAAGTTCTGTGGACACTTACTCCAGTAGAAATAGGGATAACTAATGAGAAAAACATGCATTTCAAATCATTAGAAATTGTTCAGAGATATATATGTCAAGCAATGAACATTTATTCATGAAATTCTTTATTCATAGTAAGAATTAGTGAATGAATAAATATCAAATCTCTCATACATAGTAAGTACAACAAATCTCTCTGAATCCTATTCTGCTTTACATTTAATGTCTAGTATAAATTTTTAATTGAGAATCCAAAATGAAAGATTTCCATGTAAACTAAATAGAAGAGTTTGTTCATGAGGGTAGCTGAATGCTGGCTAATAAGTCACTGTCATATCAATATGTTTAATGAACTACTCTGATTGTACTTCTGTAACTTTCTAAAAGGAGGCAAATCTTTCCCTCATCTCTCTCACTGTTGACATACAACTTTTGGCCATGTTGGGGGATTCTATGATTCCTCCTTCTGAATGCAAAATAACCTGATGAAAGCTCTTGATCTGTTTAGACTGGAAATTTTAATCCGTTCCATCTCTTCCCTTGCAGACAAGGAGACATGGCCTCAGAGATCCACATGCCAGGCCCAGAGTGCCTCATCGAGAACACTAATGGGCGACTGCTGGTTAATCCGAAAGCCCTGAAGATCCTGTCTGCCATCAGGCAGCCCGTTGTGGTGGTGGCTATCGTGGGCCTCTACCGAACGGGCAAGTCCTACCTGATGAACAAGCTGGCCGGGAAGAAAAAGGGTGAGTGACACAGGCAGAGCCCAGCCAAGTCCCTCTGTCCATCCACACCCCCAGCACGCAGCACAGTGATATGAGGAGAGGAAGTGAGAGACCTGGGAGGAATATTGAAAGCTAACTTTCAGTCCACAGTTGTGTCCATATTGTCACTGTGACCTGAAAGAATCAGCTCACCACTCTTTGCACTTTGCCTTAGTTTCTTTTTTAAAAGCATACATTGTTCCTTTCCTAGAAAGACTAATGTGGTAATAAAAAATAGGTAATGTATATAACAATAAACTATAAGACTCTTACAAAGATATTTGTATAGTAAGAACATTTCCACTGATCTTTAAGATTTAAAGAAGTGTTTAAATTTGTATTGGCTATTCTTTTTTCTTTTCTTTTCTTCTATTGTTGTAAGATATACATAACATAAAACTTACCACAAAATTTATCACTGTAACTGTTTTTAAAAATTCTGTGGTATTAAGTTAATTCACACTGTTGTGTAAACATCACCAACATCCATCTCCATAAACTTCCTCCCCCCCCCAAAAAAAAACTTCCTCCAACAGAAACTCTGTACCCCAGTAAACAATAATGCCCCAACCACCTTAACAATCACCCTTCTATATTGTATATAAATCTGATTGGTCTCATACAAGAGGAATTAGACATGAGTGTCCTTTAACGATTGGCTTATTTCACTGAGGATAATGTCTTCGAGGTTCAACAATGTTGTAGCATGTGTCAAATTCACCTCCTTTTAAAGGCTGAATAATTGTATGTGATACTAATTTGTTTACCCAGTCATCTAGCTGATGGACATTTGGACTGTTTCCTTGTTTTGGCTACTATGAATGATGTTACTGAGAACATGGGTACACAAACATCTGTTCATGTCCTCGCTTTCACTTCCTTTGGGTGTACACCCAGAAGTGGAACTGCTGGATCATATGACAATTCTGTGCTCATTTTTAAAACAAATGGTCGTATTGTTTTCCACAGAAAAGTGAAAGTGGAAGTCATTTAGTCATGTCCAACTCTTTGGGACCCCATGGACTGTAGCCTGCCAGGCTCCTCTGTCCACAGAATTCTCCAGGCAAGAATATTGGAGTGGGTAGCCGTTCCCTTCTCAGCAAATCTTTCCAACCCAAGAATCAAACCCAGATTTCCAGCATTGCAGGCAGATTCCAGGCAGATTTCCAGCATTGCAGGCTCAGGCAGATTTCCAGCATTGCAGCTCAGATTGCCAGCTGAGCTACAAGGAAAGTCCCATTCTGGTGCTTACATTCTGATGGAAATGTAAAACTATACCATTTTACATTCCCACCAGAAACACACAATGGTTCTAATTTCTCCATGTTCTCATCAATACTTGTTATTTTCTGGATTTTTCATACTGGCCATCCTAAAGGGCATAAAATAGTATTTCATTGTGGAGTTTTTTAAATAAAAATTATTTATCAAATTCATTCAGTGTTAAATTTTTCAACTTTCTTATAAGTATTGTTAACTTTTAGGATTCACTAAGATCTACACTAGTGCTTTTTTTGAAGTACAGTTGATTTAAAATATTTTGTTAATTTCAGGTGTATAGTAAAGTGACTCAGTTATATCTATACATGTTTCAGATTACTTTCCAATATTGGTTGTTACAAGACACTGTGGTTTTGCTTTGTAAATCTCTAATGACTAGGAATGTTGAGCATGTTTTCATATGTTTATTAATCACTTGAATAATTTCTTTGGAGAAACATATTCAAGTTCTCTGCTCATTCTTTTACGTGGGATGATCTTTAATTTGCTTATTTGTATTACATTGTAGGACTTCTTTATATATTCTGCATATCAATCCCTTATCAGATTCATAACAAGCAAATATTTTCTCCCATTCTGAGTTACGTACCTAAATCTGTAAAGAGTGTCCTTTGATACACAAAAGTTTTAATTTTGATCAAGTTCAACTTACGTATTTTTATTTTGCTATTTATGTTTTGGGTATCATGTCCAAGAAATCATTGGCAAATCCAAAATCGTGAAGTTCTTTTGTGTGTTTCAGCTCCAACATGTAGGTCTTTAAGGGCTTCCCTGGTGGCTCAGAGGGTAAAGCATCTGCCTGTAATGTGGGAGACCTGGGTTCAATCCCTGGGTCAGGAATATCCCCTGGAGAAGGCAATGGCAACCCACTCCAGTACTCTTGCCTGGAAAATACCATGGGTGGAGAAGCCTGGTGGGCTACAGTTCATGGGGTCACAAAGAGTCGGACACTACTGAGCAGCTTCACTTTCACTTTCATTTTCTTGTAGATCTTTGGTTCATTTTGGTTAATTTTGTGGAAGGGATGATTTCTGTCTTTCACCATTCAGTATAATGTTGGCTGTATCTTTTTCAAATTGTTATTTGTTATTGTTATTTACTATGTTAAGATCATTTCCTTTTATTTCTAGCTTGTTGATTGGTTTTATCATGAAAGGTATTTAATCTTTTCATGTATTCAATATTCTAATTGCCCTGTTTCTCTGATTGTAAGATTAATACTTGTGGTGGTTTCAGTTCTCCTAAACTTGATCTTATTAACCGTTATCCCCACTCCCAGAGCCACCTAATGTTAGGACCCCACTCTCTCTTTCCCCACGCCCCCTGCAGGCTTCTCTCTGGGCTCCACCGTGCAGGCACACACGAAGGGCATCTGGATGTGGTGTGTACCTCATCCCAAGAGGCCGAACCGCGCTCTAGTTCTGCTTGATACGGAGGGCCTGGGGGATGTGGAGAAGGTAAGGAATGAGGCTCCAATCTGGACTAAGACCTCATCTCTGAATATCCTCTACACTTTTCATTTTCCTTTAAATAAGACCTTTGTTTAACCACATTTTTTCATTTCTGTCTATATGCTATGAAACCAAGTTAGGAACCAGGGGTTAGGAAAATATTCATAAGGCAGAATCCTAGAGGAAGAGCATAGTGGTCAGTAGACAGTATCCTAATTAATAAAAAGCTATAAGCTAAGCAAGTTAACACAGATGCAAAAAGGGAGTACAGATAAACTCAAAGTGATGAATTTTATCCTGCAAAGAACTTTAGTTAAGGATTTAGCTTCTGAAGTGCCATACTCATGGATTTAAAGTCTATCAGTACCTCAATAACTTTATTTTTTTTTCCATTTATTTTTATTAGTTAGAGGCTAATTACTTTACATCATTACAGTAGTTTTTGTCATACATTGAAATGAATTAGCCATGGATTTACATGTATTCCCCATCCCAGTCCCCNTTGCCTCAGAGGCAAGTGTAACTTGCTTATAAAACACATGCAATAGATATACACTTGCCTCAGAGGCAAGTGTAACTTGCTTATAAAACACATGCAATAGATATACACTTGCCTCTGATATTGTATGGAATATTTAAAAGATAAGAAGTGGAAAGTGTTAGGTGAACAACAATTGTTTAATGAGATAAATACAAGTATTATTGCCCCCATACTAAGACAATTGTTCTGTAAAAATAAAGAGAAAAAATTAAATTTGAATTATATTTAAGCCCTTAGAATGTCCACCTGCAATGACTATTTGTTTTGCAACTACCTGCCAATGATCATAAGAGTCCAGTGAGAATCAGGGTAAACCAAAAACACTAATTACAAAACTATTCAAATTTCAAGTCCTATTAACAGTCATTTTTGCTGGGATTTAGCTTCTCTTCCAGGTCATTTGTCTTAAAAAAAAAAAGAACTCTAGTTAAATGAGCATCCTTTTACTACTGCTGATCAGGAAAGTGCCATAAGAATGAAACACAATCCTGGTAAAATATGTTCTGATTTTCAGGGTGACAACCAGAATGACTCCTGGATCTTTGCCCTAGCAATACTCTTGAGCAGCACTTTTGTGTACAATAGTATGGGAACTATCAACCAGCAGGCCATGGACCAACTGCAGTATCCTTTTGGGATCCAAACCACATTAAAGTCAGAGGGGAGACCAAAATTTAAAAAATAGCTGACTATGAATCCTGGTGAAACAAACACAAGAAATATAAAAAAAAATTCAATGGCAAGGGGAAAATCCTATAACCTACTGAAGAATTGATACTTGGGATACTTGGGTTAAGAACAAAGGAGAAACAAAGGTTTTGTATGTGGAACTAATATAGGATTGGGGCGGGGGGGACTCTTCATTCATGCCAGTTTTCCTTATTTTGCTACTCAGCTATGTAACAGAATTGACAGATAAAATCAGGGCAAGATCCTCACCTGATGTGGATGGGGTTGAGGATTCAGCTGACTTTGTGAGCTTCTTTCCAGACTTCGTATGGACACTGAGGGATTTCTCCCTCGACTTGGAAACAGATGGAAAGTCCATCACAGCAGATGAGTACCTGGAGAATTCACTCAAGCTTAAGAAAGGTAAAGGGGACTTAGAATTGGTAAACAGATGACAAAACACTAAAAACTACTGTTCCTTAGTTTTCTATCAACAGTTGTCTTCTGTTTATAGTTTCTATTTCTTCTCAAGGGGTGATTACTAAGAAGTAATGCTTATTTACTATCTGAATTAATAGATTTGGTTTTAGGTTACTTTTCTCCCTGTTCTAAGAATAAACTTCTTTTTCTTTCACCTTCCCTGTGCTGTGATTAGATTGATATCTCCATGCTTAGGGCTTATGATGCTGTAATTAGCCAAAGAATAGGAGTAGAAAGGTCATTTATTTGAAGAAAAGAAATGCAAGTGTGAACCATGCACAGTTCAGGGGTGGTAATGGATTGCTACAGGCAAATATTGTCTAATCTAGTCTGCCAGTTGGTTTTCTAAATAAGATTTTATTGGAATAATGTCATACCCATTCATTTATAGTTTCTCTATGACTGCTTTTAGTCTACAATAGGAGACTTGAGCACTCAGAAAAGAGACCATCTGGCTTGCAAAGTCTAAAATATTTATTGTTTGACCCTTTACAGGAAGTGTTTGCAAGACCCTACATTAGGCAAACTCCTTTTTTCTTCCTCCAGGTACCAGCCCGAAAGATAAAACTTTTAATCTGCCTCGACTCTGTATCCGAAAGTTCTTCCCAAAGAAGAAATGCTTCATCTTTGATCAGCCCACTCACAGGAAGAAACTGAACCAGCTTGAGGAACTGTGTGACGATGAGCTGGACCCCGAATTTGTGCAACAAGCTGCGGTCTTCTGTTCCTACATCTTTAGCAATTCCAAAACTAAAACTCTCTCAGGATGCATCAAGGTGGATGGACCTCGTGAGTCCTATTCCCAGTCTTCACTCTCACTGTTAAGACTAAAGGATGGTGTGATAACATCCATGTAGCTTCAATTTTAAAAACTGCACATCTACTGCTATTATCATGTTAAATTCTAGGTGGCACCAACACTTCTGATAGGTTTTATTAGTCAGACTTCATAGTTGAGAAAAGATACAAAAGGCAATGAATAAAAGCTCTAAGAGCTGAAAATTGTCCTAGTAAACTGGACCTGCCCTATCCAACATGGTTTTCACTAGACAAGTGTGCCTATCTAAATTTAAATGTAGCTAATAAAAAATGTAGAAATTTAACATTCTGATCACACAGCTATATCTCAAGGGCTCACACACCTGAGGCTAGTGGCTCCCACCCTGGACAGCACACACAGAACACTTAAATCATCACAGAAGATTCTCCTGGAACAATTTTCTGCTAGAATAAACAAAATGGAGGACTCATTTTTATTTGCTCCACAAATATTAATCAAATGTTTACCAGGGCTGATGATACAGACATAAATGAGAGAGAGATGGCTTCTGGCCTAACAGTGCCTGCTGCTAAAGTGAATGCACTGAATGCATGCAGGACTTCGCTATCTAGAACAGAGGTTCTCAACCTTTGATATATTTATGCCACTTGAGGATCTTGCCAAAAAGGAGGGTCTAAGTCAGTCAAACTGACTGATGCTGCTGAGGCATTGATGCTGTAAGACAAATGGTTGGTAACAGACATTAGAATTACACAGAATAGAAAGTTTCCTCATCCCGTCTAAAATAAACATCATCATTTGTTCTCTATTGTAGGTCTAGAGACCCTGGTGCAGACCTATGTCAATGCCATCAACAGTGGAGATCTGCCCTGCATGGAGAATGCAGTCCTGGCCTTGGCTGAGATTGAGAACTCTGCCGCGGTGAAAAAGGCCATTGCCCACTATGACCAGCAGATGGGCCAGAAGCTGCAGCTTCCCACGGAAACCCTCCAGGAGCTGCTGGACCTGCACAGGGCTACTGAGAAAGAGGCCATTGAAGTCTTCATGAAGAGTTCCTTCAAAGACATAGACCAATTGTTTCAAAAAGATTTAGCGGTAATTTTTTTCTCAAGTTTATACAGACTAGGTTCTTAGAAAGTAAAATAATAGAAGAAAATGAGATGGGTGCTTATTTTGAGAAAAGTAATTCTCACTAGATATTTAAGTGGTGAAAACCAATCTGTGTTATCATAAGAAGAACCAATTTTATTATGATATATCTTATTATGCACTAAAACTTTTTTCTTTCATGAATAAACAAATATTCTTTTCCCTATAGTTTCATTACATGCACATACAAGTAGCAGAGCTTCCAATCAAATTACCTGCTCATTGTTATCAGACTCATTGGATATTTTGGCAATAAAGAAAATGTTAGTTTTAGTTATCACAAGCAGACTTACATTGAGCCACATTAATTTCATATGCAGTCACTGATCCAATGTGAAAAGCTGGAATTTATCTCCAAAGGTGTACCATATAGCTAGTAATCACTGCTCTGAAGGTCACCCCACGGTGAAAGGGCTTTAGTAGAAAGTCAGAATCTGGAGGAAGGATATGGTCCTGTTGAGTGCCTATAAGTCTGTCTAGGGGTCAGAGACCTTTTTTACTTCTATTTTCTTGAGACACTTTTCCAGAAATTTCAACATCAAGCCAACATCTTTTCACTCCTGTTTATTAACACTTCCTATTGTTTTGCATTAAAGGCCCAGCTAGACAAAAAGCGAGATGACTTTTGTAATCAGAATCTTAAAGTATCATCAGATCGTTGCTCTGCTTTACTGAAGGATATTTTCAGTCCTCTAGAAGAAGATGTGAAACAAGGGATTTATTCAAAATCAGGGGGCTATCGCTTCTTCATTGAGAAGATGCAAGAGCTGAAGAAGAAGTATCTTCAGGAGCCCAGGAAGGGCATACAGGTAAGCAAGGTTGATATACTCTCATTCAATAAGCACTACAAGGAGCCTGTTACACCAGGTATAACCTATATGCTCATCCAAGAGTCTGTACTCAATTAACAACTGAGTTATAAACTGTGTTACCAGATGTATCCAAAATTTCAAATAACGTCATCATTTATCTCTTTGCCTGTGGCTCCCCCTAGCCCCACACTTCCCTCCCTCCCAGTCTCCCTCTACCCCCTTTATTCAGATCCACTTTCTCCATGATGCCTTCCTTCTCCAACAAGCTCATGCCATATGGGACCACAGCACCCACAGCTCCAAAATCAGAGCCCTCAGTCTAAAAGAACAAAGGATCGCTATTTACATATATATCAACCTCTTATAAAGGATTCTGCTCAGGAGGGCACCTTGCTTGGCCAGTCTGGAGCATGTGCTCATCCGAGTGCCAGGGAATGTGATCATCAGGCACACCAGGGCCAAGAGGAGCAGTTCCTAGAGGGAAAGGTGGTGGGCAAACAGGAATGAGTGCTTACAGCCATTTCCTACTACTAACCGCATTTTGTCCGGGTCCCAGGCTGAGGAGATTCTTCAGGAATACTTGAAGTCCAAGGAGTCTGTGACTGATGCAATTCTACAGACAGACCAGACACTTTCAGAGAAGGAAAAGTTGATTGAAGGTGAGGAGCTAGTCAAGAGACTAGACAGCTCTGAAAGCTCTTAAAAGTTCAAACTAACTCCGCTGGGTGAACCTAAGAGACTCAAACCATAGCAACATGAGAAAAGATGTCTCTTACTTGCTAAAGTCATTTCTGAGTAGGGCATATGAAGTCAGCAACAGTGATAGGTAACTGTAGATGGAAGAAAGAAGCAACTTGGTCTCCACATACATTTTTCTTTTTCCTCTTTCTCCTGACAGTGGAACGTGTGAAAGCTGAATCTGCACAGGCTGCAGCAAAAATGCTGGAGGAAATGCAAATAAAGAACCAGCAGATGATGGAACAGAAAGAAAAGAGCTATCAGGAACATGTGAAACAACTGACTGAGAAGATGGAGAGGGATAGGGCCCAGTTACTGGAAGAGCAAGAAAGAACTCTTGTTCTCAAACTGCAGGTATTTAATTGCAACACCATGTGGCTCCTGTTATTCTGTTTTCCCGCCATACTCTCTGTTCACAAACGTGGCACAGCAGTGAGAATATGAAGCCCAGAAGAAAGACCTTGCTTGCTCACTTGTACTTTTCGATCCCTATTTGCCTGCCTGAACTGGCCCCTATAATATTTCGTTGTTGAACAATTTTATTTGCAGCTGTGTCATACCCAGTCCTTTTTCACTATATTGTCAACCAGTAATAGCTATTATCTGCCAGGCATTATTTTTTTTTTAATGGTCTTATCCATATCTCTTACTTAGTACTGTACGAAGCAAGAACTGTTATGTCCCTATTACTTTGGAAATTAAAGAGAGGTTCAGTTAAGACTAACTAATTTTATTAGGTCACAATGTTTGGAAAGATACCTGAACTGTATTCACCACTTAGAGGAATCTATGATTTTTTTCCTGTCACACCTGGGATGAATTTTAGCTCTAAGGGGTCCTTCATAAGTAGAAGGATTCCTTAACTCTTATACCATTGTATCCATCTGTTACTCCTACTTTTTTTCTGTTCCCTGCTTCTAGTATGTGTTAAGTGGGGAACTATGTGGAGAAATTCAGTATGGTCAAATCTGGTACCCTGATATTCCCTCACCTATATTTTGCTCCCACTGCCACCAAGTTGTGGAAGCTTAGATCAAATTTCCTGATCTAAGATTCAGGCTGCATCAGATTTTGAAAATTCTTCTTTTATTTCTATATTATATGTGTATGTGTGTGTATTTAAAAATCAAAATGCATAGATTTGAAGTCAAACATTTCATTAAGATTGCCCACAAAGCTTGTATACAATTAATGGGAGGAAAAAATTAGAAGGATAATTGAGATTCATCACCATATCAGGAGATATGAGTCAAAAATATTTCTTAACTCAAGAAGACTTAGGAAAAGTAATCACAGAGCTAGAAGGGTCAAGAGAAAGAATGATAAAAATTAATGATGGAGAAAATTTTAAGAAGACATTAAATATTTTTTAAAAATCTATGACATGTGGAAACTAGACAGAAGTTAGAGATTTTCTCAATGATATGCGTTATTCAGTCTCCATTTGTACTTTTTTAGGAACAGTCCCGACTACTACAGGAAGGATTCCAAGAGGAGAACAAACGACTTCAAAACGAAATACAGAATCTCCAGAAGAAGATGGAAAAGCCAAGGCACCCATGTGTCCTAAGCTAAAGAATTAAAGAATAGAGCTTTCCTGGTAACTCTTATCAAAGGCATTACTCAAGAAGTTTAAAACTAAGAAAAGTGTCACCGTATTTGATAATATTTAGGTTTTGCATTTTTATTTTATTTGGTTTTGCATTTTTATTACACTAAAATTCGCAAGGACATGCAGCACTTTAATTGAAATCATGTGCATCTTCCTCACAATATTGTCAACTGTGTACCAAGATGCAATTTACCTCTGTGACAGCACAGGAGGCATCACAAACCACCACCACCAGGAGCTGCTTCTCCCAGACGACCACTAGTTAGACAAGTGGGCACTGAGCAAAGCCTGAGGCCGAAGTCTTGGGGCATAGTCAGTCATGACTTTGACCAAATACACAAGAGGTTCCAATATCAGGGAAAACCATTCTAGTTTCTTAGTGAAGACAGTGTATGGTGTCCCACTGTTTCCAGACTGCACAGTCTGTCAGCAGTGACGTGATTCCTGGGCCTGGGAATGGGCAATGCTTAGTGGTGAATTTCAAGCTAAAGTAAATCACCTTCTATTGTGATCTAGAATCTCTACAGAGTTTTCACAGGAAGATAGAAGAAGCCTTTAGTATGATCATAACTTGGATCATAAATAAATGGGCTAGAAAAAGAAACTTTTCCTTCTTGCTCAATTCACTCAGGTTACAATTTAATGGGACTCTTTAGAACTTTAGGTGACACTAAACATAGTAACAGGATGACAACTATATATTGTGTGTTTGTAGCAATTTATAACTTGCAAAGATGAACTTAAAATGATGACAGACAATGTGTTAGAAAACTGAGCTAAATTGACTATTAGATGATTGTTTATAACCTTAAACTTTAGGCTATCTTTTCCCAATTCTTAAGAGTCATACTTGAAATCCTGCTTATTTTTCCCCAAGAGAATATGGGTTGTTTTTTACTTCTTTTGACCAGTAAAATAATGCTCTTGGTATTACTTAGGACTTTATCACAATTGTCAAAACTCCTAAGTATGTGGTTGAAGTTTCTTAGAGTGATGAAGAATTATTTCCAATCTGGAAATAAATTATACTTCACTGAACTTTACATTTCTGATTTTTAAAATTATTTCACCAAGAAAATAATGTTTTACTTTATATAGCCATAAATTGGCTAACTTTATTGTAAAAGACGGGATAGTAACTATTCATGACTTTGTGAGCCATGTGGTCTCTGACTCAACTGCTCAACTCTGCCATAAAGCAGCCATCAATGATACAGAAATGGATGGCATGGCTATGTTTCAAGAAAATACTGTTTTCAAAAACAGCTGGTACCCATGAGCCATAGTTTGCAGACCCTTGCTTTATGTAATAGAAATACTAGTCAAAATTCTATATACCTGCCTTATGTTTCTTGAATTTGTAAGGAGCATATGAATTAGACTGCATATGTGAGCATTGTGAAAAGATCACGCAGGGCTTCAAAATATTACATGATAAGAGAAAAGCAGGGATGCAGCTAATGCCACTGGATCTACATTAATAAACCTGCTTGTTCTGGTTGTTTTGAGACTTTTACTCTACTGAATCCCCTTCATTCCCATCAGGATTGAGAATGCCTCCTTCCATAATTGGGCAAGTGCTAAGTAGTACTTCCTTACTCAAATTGCAACTTTATAGGAAACCACATGAGACCCAAAGCACATTAGATGCAGTATGTATGTAAATAATTCTTTGTACTCTCCAAGCTGCACTGCAACAAAAGAGTAAGTCAAATACATTTTTATCACTTGAAGAGACTTCATGAAAGAAAAGAATAAACTGTTCCTTCAAGATCAAATAGTGGTTTCTTTGCTAATCATTTAAAAATCAGAAAATTAAAGCTAAACTAAATTAGGTAACTTCTTCTCTAGAATGGTAGCAAGAGTTTCTTTAACAGATTCCAAATCATCTAACCTCTGGTTTAACACTTTCTCTATAATAGCTCCAGGAACAAAATCCAGCTGTCTTCCCAAGGAGGTGTGTTACTTTCACCAGTGGTCCTTAATCTAGCTATGAATTAAAATAAATGTATTAAATATAAGGAGATTCTCAGGCCCCTACCCTTCCCCTGACTTTGTGATATAGTAGATCTGATATGGGTTATTGAGAAGTATAATGACAAAAGCACAATTCAAGGTGATACACTTTCAATCTGCCAAAGATACCACATGTTAGAGCCCATATTTGCTGACCCTTATGGGGTTTCTGTGTCAAAATTCTTTTTAGCCTAAAGAAGTATATTTTCTCTAAGTGACACATTATTACTTTTCCTTCTATGAGTTTATATAGGAAATATATGCTCCACTGATCTAGAGGAAGGAGACACACCATAAACTGATACTGGCAAAATATTAACAGCAGAACTCCCTGCCCTACTTTGTCCAGGGTCAATAATCTATTATTAGGTCAATGAAAATGTATTTACTAAAACACGCAAATATAAAGATTTAAGAAATATTTTGAATATTTGATACATAAAGAGATAAAAAAACATTACCACAATAAATGCATAATTTCAACAACTTAGTTCAGTTCAGTTCAGTTTGGTCGCTGTCATGTCCGACTCTGCAACCCCATGGACTGCAGCACACCTGGCTTCCCTGTCCATCACCAACTCCCAGAGACTACTCAAACTCATGTCCATCTGTTGGTGATGCCATCCAACCATCTCATCCTCTGTTGTCCCCTTCTCCTCCTGCCTTCAATCTTGACAGAGAACCAGTCACAGAACAAAAGACAGGCAAACTCGCCCAGTTTTTATTATGGAGATTTTTTCCAACCTAACTCCAAAACAATCCCTCTAGAAAGTTAGATTTATGGCCTAACTTTATTCTCTTGGACTCCAAAGTCACTGCACATGGTGACTGCAGTCATGAAATTTAAAGATGCTTACTTCTTGGAAGAAAAGCTATGACAAACCTAGACAGCGTATTAAAAAGCAGGGACATCACTTTGCCGAGAAAGGTCCATATAGTCAAAGCTATGGTTTTTCCAGTAGTCATGTATGGATGTGAGAGTTGGACTCTAAAGAAGGCTGAGCACTGAAGAATTGATGCTTTTGAACTGTGGTGGTGGAGAAGACTCTTGAGAGTCCCTTGGACTTCAAGGACATCAAACCAGTCAATCCTAAAGGAAATCAATCTTGACTATTCATTGGAAGAACTGATGCTGAAGCTGAAACTCCAGTACTTTGGTCACCTGATGCAAAGAACTGACTCACTGGAAAAGATCCTGATACTGGGAAAGACTGAAGGCAGGAGGAGAAGGGAAATACAGAGTACGAGATGGTTCAATGGTATCACCTACTCAATGGACATGAGTTTGAGCAAGTTCCGGGAGATGGTAAAGGACAGGGAAGCCTAGCATGCTGCAGTTCAAATGGTCACAAAGAGTCGGACACAACTGAGTGACTGAACAACAACAAGAAAAGTTAGATGAGACTATGTGGAAAACAGGAATGGCTCAGACTAAAGGGATTCATCCATTCACAATATTTGTTGAGGACCTACCAGGTACACTGCCAAGGACTGCAAAACACAGTTGAAGTTTCTCTCTTAAGGAGCTAACAGTCTAATGATGAATACAGGTATTAAACAAATAAATACAGGATATTAAATACTCAGGAGATTGAGGGGAGAGCATTTCTATGATTTGGAATGAGTTGATCTAACCAACTACACCAAGATATCTCAGATGATGCCATAATATGTCTTAACTAGGTTTCCCCTTATCAATCAACTAGTAGTAAAAAAATCAAAATTGGGAGGGAGAAATAGGAAGAGAAACAAACTTAGGAAAAAAAGGGTCTATCACAGGGCCACAAAACATAACACAGTGTGTCCTGCACTCAGCTTCTCTTATCTTTTTGAGGCAACTGGTAAAAGAAATGAAAAAAGCAATGAGCCCCATCTAGTGGCCAGTATTTTAAATTTTCTTAATCATATTTTATCACTCCTGAAACCTCTTACTTTGTGCATATTTATTGCCTAACTCCCTCAGTAAAATATAAGCTCCAGGTGGGCAGAAATGTTCTCTGTTTTGGTTATTATGGAATCAGCAGGATCTAGAAGGTTGTCAAATACATAGTATGCCCTCCCATACAATAAGAATTTTTAAACACATGAATGAATATTTTATACACAGCATTTATCATCCCAACTGAATTCCTGATGTTTTTGCCTGAAAGTTTACCATTTGATTATTTAGCATCATACTGAATGTTTCCAGACTTTGATAGCCATTTGTATTCTTGTATCATTTAGAAGTGAATCTTCTTCTCTATCGCCACAAAGGATTTCTTCGTTATCCCTTCTTTAGAGACCTAAAGAACTAGGTGTCAGTTTATGTCCTGCCATTGCTCTAGGGAACTGCCTGTCATAAAGCACGAAGTACTGACTTTGGACCAGCAGCATTGCCAAAAGGACACTGCACACCAGGACAAATTGTGGGGGAAAGGGCAGCAGCCAGAGAAACGCTCCAGGAGCTGAGAACCTGCTGAGAGCCTTAAGAGAGGGGCCTCTGAAAGCTGAAAAGCTCCAATGTGATCCAAGAATTCCAGAGGCAAAGTCTGATTGAGAAAGGAAGAAAAACACCATACTGAGAAGAGAAATTTCTACCAGGGTCTAACACAGTGGTGCTTGTGTAGCATCATTTTCTAATACCATTAGCCAGAAGCCACACACCTAACCCATGTCTTGAAGGGCACAATGTTTCTACCAGCACAATTTTTATTGTTACACCTTACACATGGTCCCCATGTTTTGAATGAATTTTTAAAAAAATATTTATTTCTGCCTGTGCTTGGTCTTCACTGCTGTGCACGGGCTTTCTCTAGTTGTGGTGTGCAGTCTTCCCGTTGCAGTGGCTTCTGCTATTGCAGAGCACAGGCTCCCAGTACACGGGCTTCAGCAGTTTTGGCATTTGGGCTCAGCAGTTGTGTCACACAGGTAGATGCCCTGCGGCATGTGCAATCTTCCCCAACCGGGGATCAAACCTGTGTCCTCTGCACTGGCAAGTGGATTCTTAACCACTGGACCACCAGGGAAGCTCTGAATGAATTTTTATTACCCAACTGATTTGTAAAGTCACAATTCATTTTTGCTTTTTAAAAACTGTTCACAACTGTGAAGACTTTCTCATCCTTAGTAACCAACATTAATATTTGAATTGCTATTATTCAGTTCAGTTCAGTTCAGTTGCTGTCATGTCCGACTCTTTGCGACCCCATGAATCACAGCGCGCCAGGCCTCCCTGTCCATCACCAACTCCTGGAGTTTACTCAAACTCATGTCCATCGAGTCAGTGATGCTATCCAGCCATCTCAGCCTCTGTCATTGCCTTCTCCTCCTGCCCCCAACCCCTCCAAGCATCAGGGTCTTTTCCAATGAGTCAACTCTTTGCATGAGGTGGCCAAAGTATTGGAGTTTCAGCCTCAGCATCAATCCGAATTGCTATAAATCCTGCCAAATGTGTATTTGAGAAGGTACACAGGTAGACAAACAAATATAAAAAATAGATATATAGTTATGCTGGCCAATCATTCTACTATAATTTTTGAAATGTTTAAGCTAATGTTTGTACAGCTGTCATAATTTGGCCAAAAAACCACTAATTTACTGTAATAATATATATGCACACACAAAGTAATCCATTTAAAATAGCTGCATGAGATTGAAAACTAAACGGAACTCTTTTTTGACATAGTTGTATATATTTAAAGCAGGCAACATGGTGATTCCATATACATATACACTGTAGAAAGATTAAGGAGATCAAGATAATTAACACATACATCTCCCTCACATAGTTAACATAGTTAATTCTTGTCTGTGTGTGTGTGTTGACAAAGCTTAAGATTTACTCTCAGCAACTTTCAAGAATATAACTCTTTATAGCAGGAATGTAAGATGGAAAAGGTTCTAGAAACTTGCAAACTTAGACTCAGTTGTCATTTTCTTCTGGATCAGGTCCTTCCTAGTACTGCTCTAGGATTAGGAGTAAAAGAAGAAGTTAGTTCTGCCTGCCTGACCCGTAGTACCTACAATGGACAAATGTCACTTGAGAAGCATTTCCAGATAATAAGGCATTGCTAATATCTTTCACTTTGTTTCCCCTCTGTCACTCTATGGTCATCTGGAAGATTCATGTAAAGTGAAGTGCCTTTGGTCAGCAAACAAGAGGGGTCAATAATCACAGCAGTACTATGACTGCATATCAGGAAACCTATATGAAAGAGTTCAACAAAATTGAGGTTGATTTCTCTCTTATGTTAATATAGGAAGCCCAGAGCTAGAATGGTGGCTTCATGATATTAAAGCTCAGGCTCCTTCTCTCCACCCATTGTTCTACCACCTTCAACTTGAAGATTCCACCTGGGGGTTCAAATAGCCAACATGTCTGCACTCCAACTGTCAGAGAAACCACTAACCTAGGGATCAGTAGGGGTGTAGGGTTCCTCAAGACATTTCCTAGAAACAGCACAGACAGCTTCCACTTATATCCTATGGCCTATCAGCTACAACAGAGACTGG